ATCTAGTCCCTTTCGATGCTCTAGAACAAATCAACAAAGAGTTAGATAGACTCGAACAACCAGATATCCTGTCAAAAACAGATTTCAGCTAGTGGGCAGCACCTACGGTCTACGTAAAAAAGAAGTCCAATCAAATACGAATATGCGCAGATTTTTCCACAGGGTTAAACGATGCCTTGCAAGATCACCACTATCCTCTCCCAAGCCCTGAAGAAATGTTCAATAAACTCAATGGTGGAAAGATTTTTTCTGAAATTGACCTCTCGGATGCATACCTTCAGATAGAGGTGGAAGAAGAAAGTTCCAAATTGTTCTGCATAAACACCCATAGAGGGTTGTACAAATACAACAGGCTGGCTTTTGGAGTAAAGGTTGCGCCTGCAATTTTTCAGCAGGTCATGGACGCCATGCTGGGCGACCTTGACTACGCAACAGCCTATTTGGATGATATACTGGTTACCAGTAAAATTATGGCAGAGCACCGGAACCATATAATAAACATATTCGAAAAGATACAAGAATACGGATTTAAGGTTAAGGAGGAAAAGTGTCACTTTTTCTTACCAGAGATTGAATACTTAGGGCACATCATAAAAAAGACGGTCGTCGGCCGGATCCAGAAAGAGCCAACGCGATCAGAAACATGCCAGCCCCAGATAACGTTCAAGCGTTACAAAGCTTCCTCGGCCTCTCAACCAACTTTTAAAAAAGGACAAACCATGGTCATGGACCCCAGAATGCCAATTCGCATTCGAGAAGATCAAGAAAACTCTTACTTCGGACCTCTCCCTCACACATTACGACACTAGTCTCGACATCATAGTCGCAAGTGATGCAAGCTCGTACGGCATAGGCGCTTGCATATTACATAAACTGCCAGACGGTTCGCGAAAAGCTGTGGCTCACGCATCAAGATCTCTAAATCCAGCTGAGAAACAATATTCCCAAATAGAGAAAGAGGCTCTAGGGTTAATATTCGCTGTGACAAAGTTTCACATATATCTACATGGTAGACGGTTCATACTGCAGACGGACCATAAACCCCTAATCACAATTTTTGGGTCTAAAAAAGGTCTGCCAGTCTATACTGCAAATAGACTACTTCGTTGGGGAACGATTCTCTTAAACTATAATGTCAAGATAGTGTTCCTAACAACCAAAAATATTTTCCATGCAGACAGTTTAGCGCGACTCATTACAAAAAATACAGAAGTCCTTGAAGACTCCATCATTGCTACTCTAAGGACAAATTGTGAAATCAAAAACATGATCGCGAGTACCATAAGAGAGCTCCCAGTTACTTTGGCCGACATAAAAAGGGAGTCTCGAGAGGATGAATTCATTCAATCAATAAAAAGCAAAATTCGAAACAAAGACCCCAGTGTGCCTGAAGTTTTCTCCCTTTACGATGATGTCCTACTATATAATGACCGCGTAGTGATTCCAAACAGCCTACAAAGAAAAATCCTCAGGGATTTTCACATGGGACATCCAGGGAAGAACCGTACGAAAAGCCTCATGCGCTACTACGTTTATTGGCCAAACATGGACAAGGACTTAGCAGACATGATAGAAGCATGCAAAGGATGCGCGCTTGCAGGAAAAGGTCCAAACACGACGTGCAAACCATGGCCCAAAACAGATCATCCTTGGCAAAGAATCCATGTGGATTTTGCAGGGCCTATGGACAACATGTACTACCTCATTGTTGTGGATAGCCACTCAAAATGGCCTGAGATCTTACAATGCAAAAACCAACCACAAACTGCACGATCGTATTTTTACACGAGTTATTCGTGCGATTTGGCTTCGTAGATTGTATAGTTACTGATAATGGCACTCAATTCACATCAAGTGAATTTAGAGACTTCTGCAAGTCATATCCGGTGGACCACGTTACAACGCCTCAGTACCACCCTAGGTCAAATGGCCAGGCCGAAAAGTTCGTGGACACTTTAAAAAGGGCTTTAAGAAAGGCACTAGGAACACCGACAGATACAGCATTGCAACAATTTCTGCAGGTGTATCGGATAACCCCTAATCCGAACACGCCTATCGGAAGCTCGGCTGCAGAAACAATGTTCGCAAGGAAAATAAAATCAGTCTTCGGCAAACTGATTCTACGGCAAGCAAAATTTAAAAAAACCGCATCGCCTCATAGGAAATATTTCAATCCTGGCGATAGGGTCTTTTTCAAGGCGTACAAGAACAATATAACATTCTGGGAAGTAGGCATCATAAAACAAAGAATTGGCGAACTGGTCTATATTGTCCAAGGACCAAAAAACATTCACAAACGCCATTGGAACCAGCTCAGAACATGCCGTTTGAAGGAATCGGAATCACTACAAAATAACTGTGAAGAGCCGATCGACGTAATTTTCGATCACTTTGATCTCGACATGCCCCAAGTCTCTCCTGAAGTGCGACGTTCAGGAAGGAAAATAAAATTTACTCAACCGGTCGCCGTAAATCCCAAGAGGAAAAAGTATTAACAGTTTTATTTTTTCTCTCCTTTTCAAAAAGAAAACTCTTTGGAAGGGGGGTATTGTGAGACCGGAAACTACCTACACAATAGACTCTTCCAGGCCTATATTAAGTAGGCGACATAGCACTCTAGAGAGTGACATACAGAGTGACACAGAGAGACAGTGAGAGCCGCGTACGACTACCAGTATTGGAAACTAACATATAGTAAGCACCGCTTACACCATCTCTGTAACCTGTTGTTAATATATCTTTCTCACATCTAATCCGTGTTCCGTGTTTTACTTCTGTGGTCCCAACTTTGGCACCACATCACTTTTATACAGTCAGATTTTCAGAAATCTATCAATCAAACAATTACATGGTTGGAGTGCCAGAGCTTGATTCAACGCATGAACGCCCACCTCATTGTTCGCACTTTTACTGTAAATCTGGTGTTAATTTATTTGGGAAATTTCCCCTTTTAACGTTTCAATAATATTTCTTAAACAACCTTTGCATCAAAGGTTGTTCGAATGCTAATTTAGGATAGAAACATGAAATTATTGACTAAGTAGCAACAGCCAATTTTGGACTTAGTTTGTCACATACTTCGTCCACTTAACTGAAATAATCTGAGGCAAAGATTCACGCAAGACAATTTGTGGATCGTATGTCATTTATATTTCAAAATTGAAGAGCGTCGGATGATAAACCAGGCAGTTATAGCTGACCGGGGTTTTTGAACAATTCTTCGTAGTTTTTCGTTATACGTGAGGAAACGAGTAGGACTAAAATCACACTATATTATTGTTTGCATGATAGCAAAGTTTTTGCGATATGTTTGAAAGAAAATCGGATAAAAATGAGGAAGTAATTCAAGTTTTTTATTTTGAGTAGTAGGAAAAGCTGATTTTGCACAGTTTTTTGCAATTTTTGCGTGAAAATACTGCAGAAAAATTCTCATGCACTCTGCATAAAACACGTAACATGAGCTGTTTTGCATTAAGTGCAAAGAATTTCAGCTTATACAGTAAAAGATTTATTCGCGTAATTTTGCCTTGGTTTTTACAAAAAGTCGTACCCACCGTCAGTTTTATTGATTTTTATACCAAACTATGGGGCCTGGGAAATTGAAGAGTTGTTCGTACCCTACCTTGGTAAATTTGCAACACGTTTAATCGAAATCGGTCGAGAAATGTGGATGTGCATAAATAAAATATACAAACACAGGCAGGTACACAAACAGATATCTTCTTTTTTTTATAGATAGGTATGTTAATTATTTAGAATGATTTTAACCCGGTACAATGTCCAAGAAACATGTAAGTTAGAAAGTTACACACTAAGAGGTGCAGTTTATATGGATATGTAGAGAAGACAATGGTTAATCATACAGCTTTATAATGTAGTGATTGTGGACGAATCCTTTTGGATGTCGTTTCCACAAAACAGCGGGACTTGGGAAGAGTCTGCTTAGTAGTGTCTACACCCCCGCTGGAATACGAAGAGTATGAGGGTGGTTAGATAAAATTGAGTTGTCTGAAGGCTAAAGATAGAGCAGATGAAATTAAGCGATTTAGTTCATCTGAAAACTTTCTATGGACATAGCGATATATCGTTTCCGAAAAAATGATTGCAGGGTGGAAAATAATTCATCACCCACATGGACAATTTTGGAAACTATCGAGGATGAGAACAGAAGACCGAGCAACCCATACCCATATATGGCTTCGGTACTCCATTTTCGGAATGATGTGTCTCGTGTAAAGGTCGAGAATGCAGAAGTCAGTTAGAGAAACAATGATTTTTCTAGCATATTTAGCAATCGATCGTATGGCCGATCGTATGGCCGATCGTATATGAGGTTTGAGTTGAGTTTAAGCACCAATTTAGGCTTATATAAAATAGCCTGCCTGAGAGAACATAGTTTAAGTTCCAATAGATGATAATGACACGGAACCTCCCCGAGGGAACAGATTTTAGGCGATTATGACACGGGGACTCCCCGAGGGAACTGAGTTTAAGTTCCAATAGCCGATTATGACACGGGGCCTCGCTGAGGAAAAGAGTTTAAGTTCCAATAAGAATCCCTGAGTGCATATCCTTTCATCTCGATCGGTGAAATTTCTGGTCCTGATCGGTATTGATGGAACGTTATTAGCTTGATTTTGGTGTCAATGAATGCATGCTGACATATTTCACCGAGTTATTAGATCTTGGTCAGAGAAGGGAGAAGCTACAAAACTCTGGTCATATAAAAATTTGGAGGTGCACACATATAACTTTTCTAAGGCATATATGTATTTCTTCAGCTGAACTGACCTAATTTACAGTTTCCGGGAGAGTGCACACAAACTGGCGTAATTTTGCACGAATCATTCGGTCACGATGACTGCTGACATCGAATTAGAAGAAAATCAATCAATTCCGAAAAGTGTACATCACACATTTTCAGTGGAAATATTTTTGTAAAACCTTGTATAGTTTTCAGACAATTTCCTACGGTGACATATGCTAGGATCTGGGCTTTTCTACGGATAGGGAGAGACTATGATAGATAGATAGATAGATAGATAGATAGATAGATAGATAGATAGATAGATAGATGAGAACAGATTTTTATATACGTCCATTAGAAAAAAGCTGAGTTAATCAGTGACATAACTATGAATAGACTGATTAAGAAAATTAGATAGATACACATACAGATATACATGTGTAAGCAGACCTAGGAGACAGCGTCAAATATTATAACGTTTAGTTATATTATACTGCACTATAGCCAACTGTTGAAGATTACGCGTTAAACGATGCTACCAATTTTTTTTAAGTTTTCCATTTACATCGAAGAATTTCTTGTCGCTCTTGATATTTTTTCGACCTGTGCTCATTTTTCAATATGAATTTCGTGTAACGCTTGCTCTCTTTCAAGAAGGTCTAAGAATTTCCATATTCTGGGTGATGGGATGATACTTTCTGCCAAAAAGCCCTATGCCATCCTTCATGGGCATTATTAGTTAGAGGTAAATCAGCATTGACTCTCTGAAAGCAAGACGACATAAAGTATTTCGAATAATTATCAATTACGATAATTATCCTTTCGATTAATTTTCATTCAAACAATGTACAATTCGAATAAATGTTCATCGAACAATTATTTCGTACAATAATTTCGATACGAGAAAAGATTTAAACTTATTAAACTTGGATCAATCTCGGAATAGGATAGATATAACAAATATGTTAAAATTAAAAGGAGAAAACTTAGTAGCTAAACATCTTTCTACAGTTTGCTAGCTAGATAGATAGATACAAGTGAAGAGATAAGATAGATAGATAGATAGATAGATAGATAGATAGATAGATAGATAGATGTGAAGAGATAAGATAGATAGATAGATAGATAGATAGATAGATAGATCTGAAGAGATAAGATAGATAGATAGATAGATAGATAGATAGATAGATAGATAGATAGATGTGAAGAGATGAGATAGAGAGATAGATAGATAGATAGATAGATAGATAGATAGATAGATAGATAGATAGATAGATAGATGTGAACAGATAGATAGATAGATAGATAGATAGATAGATGTGAACAGATAAGATAGATAGATGTGAACAGATAAGGTAGATAGATAGATAGATGTGAACAGATAAGGTAGATAGATAGATAGATGTGAACAGAGAGATAGATAGATGTGAACAGATAAGATAGATAGATGTGAACAAATAAGATAGATAGATAGATGTGAACAGATAAGATAGATAGATAGATGTGAACAGATAAGATAGATAGATAGACGTAAACAGATAAGATAGATAGATAGATAGATAGATAGATAGATAGACCTGAACAGATGAGATAGATAGATAGACAGATGTGAACAGATAAGATAGATAGATGTGAACAAATAAGATAGATAGATGTGAACAGATAAGATAGATAGATAGATGTGAACAGATAAGATAGATAGATAGATAGATAGATAGATAGATGTGAACAGATAAGATAGATAGATAGATGTGAACAGATAAGATAGATAGAGAGATGTGAACAGATAAGATAGGTAGAGAGATAGACGTGAACAGATAAGATAGATAGATAGACAGACAGACAGACAGACAGATATCAGTAATTGAACTTTGAAAAGTTATCCAAAACGATCAACAAAATTCAGTATATTTTAATGTCTGCAAATTTGTTTCCGCTTGCTATTATTCTAGGGGCACTGGGACAAAATTGTTGAAGTGTTTTACTAGAGAAATAAGTATTGCTCTTTTCCTTGAGAACTTGTCCAGCTGGTGTCAACAAGAGGAGACTTGAGTCAGTTGTTGAGGTTTTCCTTTAATGTGATCTTTTGATGGCTTCATTTGCACGATCATCCGGGAGGCTTGTCTTAACACGACAGACTGAAATTGGTTTTATTATTCGGAGAGTCTGGTAAGGTTTAACGAATGCAAATACCGTAATATTTCTAAGATCTTCAAGACGGAAACAAGTAGTTTCAAAACGTTGTCCTTTCTGCGAACGAACGAGAAAAACATAAAAGCTCACTGCAATTCAAATACTACAGATTGTTAATGAGAATGCTGTAAAACTGAAATAAGATGAAGGAAAGGATAATGTAAGAGACAGAAATGGCTATTCAGAAAGAGAGTACATTTTTACTTAGCCTATGACATGTGCGCATTACTTAAAAATGGAAAAAATATATTTGATACTTCAAATAGATTTTGTTTCGGATGTACGCAGCATTTAATTTTTCCGATAGCGGATAGCTATTTATCTATCTATCTATCTATCTATCTATCTATCTATCTTATCTGTTCAAATCTATCTATCTATCTATCTATCTTATCTGTTCACATTTATCTATGTATGTATCTCAAGTCAGTCTTAGAAAAGCATAATTTAGCAGGAAGAAATATACCCATTTTGGGGAACTTTTAAGAAAACTTTTGGTTTTCTATCTATCTATCTATTTATCTATTTGTCTATGTTTGTATGTATGTATGTAGGTATGTATGTATCTATCTATCTATCTATCTATTTATATATATATATATATATATATATATATATATATATATATATATATATATATATATATATATATATAAAAATATACGTGTTATAAGATAACTACAAAAGTCGAAATATTGTTTCAACACTGACGGTGTCTTCTACAGTGAGGATGTTGAATGGAAAATAAAAGATTTTCTGAGTTCAGAAAACAACCACACACCATCAGTAGAAGAAACTCTCTTACGTAGACTATGATGAACCGTCAGAATGCAAGTATGTCGTAATTAAAATAATGAGACAACATACACAGGTATAAGTACAAACTATTAGTGCATTAAAGATAAAATTAGATTCAATTAAAAATCAATTTAAAAACTATATATATATATATATATATATAGTGAAATAGAGATTGAGAGAGAATGAGAGTTCATAAAATAGCGAACGAAATCAGTATTTAAAAAAATATATATATATATATATATATATATATATATATATATATATATATACAGAGAAAATAGATATATGTTTCTCTGACTTTACAATTATCTATCTGTAAATATATATATATATATATATATATATATATATATATATATATATATATATATATATATATATATAATGTAGTATTCCAGTGAGAGTATATCTATAAAAGAACAATATGAATAAAGACAAAATGAAAAATTATCTTAGTCGAGGCCTTGATAAAGAAGTCCCCCAGTGGACAAAAGATATCGATTAACCAGTGAAGAAAATTATTTAAGACATTTTTTATATTTATACGTTCTTTTTATAGATACAAATATTTATGTAAATGCGATATTCCTATTAATGAGTATTAACAACATTTACCGGCCTGAATGTTCGAGAAATTTCCATAGAAAATATGGCTCCTCCGACAGGATATTCAGGCCGGTAAATGTTGTTAATACTGTTGATTATAAACAGAGCATTTACTTAAATATTTTTCTGTGTATAACCGAGGACATAACAAATCTTACAACAATGACATTTTTGTAGTATGCCAGTAGCAAAATATAAAATTTCGAAATACGGCCAAGAGTCAGAAATATAATGAGGATGAAAGTGCTAAATTACAAATATAATAATTATATGAACTCTTCATATGTTTGAGTTTCACTAAGGAACAGTTGCTTATACATAAGGCAATTACTTTTAGAACGAAATTGTAAAAAATAAATACATTTTCTAATTCTTCTGATATCAATTTATTTGTTAATATATAAATAAGTGTCTTTCCTATAAATTGGACAGAAATTATATTACCTCAACTCGGTGAGCTGATATGGCTTTTAGATTGGGTAAACTGTCAGACGAAATGTCTGAAGATTCTCGCTACTTCTTCCCATGGCAAGTGTTCTTAAAGAGCTACATTATTTGGTAGCACAAATCCTGATCTTTCGTTTCGACTTGCTAGCTAAACGTGGATGAATCATCTTCATCCCTTCATATTACATTAGAACGAAATAAGTCACACTCAGACAGATTCTTCCCAAGAAACATTGCATTATAACCGATTCCAGACGCGATGTTTTCGGATAACTACTTTAATCTCTTCAATTCTACGTTTAGCAGTTATCTTCCCTACATAACCTCATAACGTGTACCCCTTGAATTCTCTTCCGTTCGTGTAACACGATACGGTAGCTCTTTATTTGTAGTGGGTAAAATTAGCATAACATTATACGCTTTCAGTCAACGCTTTACATTCTATAATCACGATCAAGAATCCTGTGACACGTTAGTTTTCGTAGTGGTACGACATGTACTTCAGACGCAATACAAGTGGTGTTTCTTGGGAGCCCAACACTCTCCCGATCGGTTTGAATTCAAGGTTTTGCCAGAGGTTTTGCCAAGGCTATATAACCCAATCTGTCTTGCTGTTTACCCATACATGGAGGAGAAGCGGATTCATACCTTTCTATAATATACACAGTTAAAAACATTATATATATATATATATATATATATATATATATATATATATATATATATATATATATGTATGTATGTATGTATGTATATTTATATATATATATATATGTATTTTTATATATATATTAGTGCTTGCTTGTTTTAATTTTATATTCATAACAGAATTTCATATCTCTTCATTGACTTTATTATTGATATGCGTTATAATTTGTGAAGATCGTCGAAAATATTATTTACTAGCTGTTTCTAGGTTACTTAAATTTAAACCGAACTGGAAATAGCATGAAATCTATCGCAAATATTGCTTGTTGTTTTACTACACTTCGTACTGTTACCCTTGGGTAGGATTAGTATTCATCACTTTATCTTAGGTCAGCTGCCCGGCCTTCAACTTTCAATAAATATAAGGGAAAGAGGCACGCTTCCACAACGAATAATAATCTATTCATTTTGAAATAACGTTTCCCTTAACCGTCTTTTTTCCCGCTATGGTAACTAAAAAAAACAAAAAAATCATTGCGATCACCTGCCTAGTTTCCCAGTGGAATTAGGATTTTGACAGTCACGAAATACTTTAAAGTTCTTTGAGATAACACGCGAAAAAGTTTAAGTTTGCTGGGTTAATTAAGAAAAAATATGACCTTCCATTTTTTTTTTTTTTTTTTTTTTTTGGTTATTCAGTTAGCATTATTGTACCTGGACACAATCATTGAAAGAAATACACAAGATTCATAATTTGACAATCATTATTTGCTTGCCGGAGAATTAAAAATAATGTGTCCTGAATATCAGATGTTTTTAATCTCGCCACACGTTGCTGACGGGTCAGTAGAAACAGTAAGAATTCGTTTCTAATCCGACAAAAATTAGCGAAAAGATAATGAATGGTCCTATGATGCACTGCCGATTCCAGGTACAATCGTGTCACTTTCAAGCATTCGTACATTTCCGAGCTCATTACATGTAAAGCTATTCAACATGAATTCTATATATGGAAGAACTCATTAAATTCCGCGGTGTCACACTTATCAAATAAAATTCCTCTGGGGACAGCCGTTGAACATGTCTGGATCGTTATAATCAGAGAACTATCAAATAAATTAGCAGACTACGAATTACATCAGGTTGCTGTCGTCATTCTGACGAACAAAAGAGCGATAATTCTATTAACTCAATTTCTCTAGTATTTCGACCGTCTACCTGAATTAATAATTTATGTAAATTCAATAAAAATGAATATACTAATTTTAACGAGACGAATAAATTATATATATATATATATATATATATATATATATATATATATATATATATGTGTGTGTGTATATATATATATATATATATATATATATATATATAATTTATATATAATATAATATATAATATAATATATAATTTATATATATCCTATGCTTTTTTACACGATTTGGTCAATATTGTTCTTACACCTGATATATATATATATATATATATATATATATATATATATATATATATATATATATATATATATATATATATATATATATATATATATATATTTATCTATATAAGGCACAGTGAACTAATGGATAGCGGCCCCTATTGAGGAATCAAAGAGCTGAGTTCGAATTCTAGTCGGATCCATTACATTCAATTACGTGTACTAGCATCGTAAAAGATGTTTATTCTCTCCAGCTATGGGTAAATAGCAGGCAGGTTTCTTTAGCCTTATGTAGCCCTGCCGTAGCACATTCCATACAGCTGAAAGAAAGGACCATTCACATTTGTTTGATGATCTCGACCACAGTCAACACATTTAGGCAGCAAGTATTCATCCAATCATATTTGGTTATAAAGAAACCCCATGGTTTGTCAGTTTTATATTTTTTGATTATGGTGGTGAGTATTGTACTCAATGTTTTGGATAAATTGTTCAAAGTTTATGTTTTGTTATTGTTTTGTTCGAGTATTTTCGTGCATCGCGATCATTTTTTAAGAACCAATGTTGTGTCTATTTCTTTATCTACTTCCTGGTATTATTTGTAACAGAATTAATGTTCGTCGTCCAATGAGGCAGCCAAAGTTCTCTATTGGGGTCGTCATAATAAGGTAGTTGCAGAAAGTCAGGATTTGTGTAGTGTGAGCAAGAAGGGACAATATCACTTAGAAATAAGTATGCGCAAACAAATAGCGAAAAATACCTTCCAGAAACGAAACATTACGACAGAAAATTTCCTTCAAAACATACGGGGTAATACCTACACGAAAATATTTTATTAACTGGGTTCTGTCTCGTTTTGGTAAAGCCAGTGAAGTAGTTACCCTTTCTTAGTTAGCCTCTGCCTCTTCAACGATTCTGGATTCCGATGATCTCTTCTGCTAAAATAGAAACTGTTCAATGCTAGACAGCATACTCTATCCAAGTATTTAAAACGGAGCTGTGAGAAGATACATGCCTTTCCAATACCGATAACCTGATACTGACGACACAACTACATTACTTGGTCCCGCCACGTCTAACCTTCACATCTATGGACAGTCATGTCACTTACTGTGTACCAAACCACCCGCATTC